CGAGTAAATGGTTGGTTTCCTCTTGGTTTCCGTTGGCACCACTGAAAGGTTCCCTAAACAGAGACACCCATGGCCTGTGTCCTTCCTTTCCTGTAGGCAAAGGCATACTGTGAACCGGGAGACCAGCTCTAAAGAACGCAGGCGGTCGAGCGCGTTCGAAATTGCCAGTTTCTGGTGAGGCAAACAGTCTGCTCGGTGCGGTGCCGCTTTGTGCCACCTAAGGGGATACTCAAAAATGGGGGGCGGAGGTGTCTTTTTTTGAGGACCCTTAAATTTGGCTTTAAAGGGAAACCAAGAGAAACCACCATTTCCAAAAGAAGACACGCAGGTAACTGTTCAAAAGTTCAACACCGAGGCAGACTATTGGCCAACCTATAGGGAGGGACGGGCGAGGACACATGACTGCTTGTGCGATAAGAACCCATCAAGGTCTTCAGGAGAAATGGACAAAGAAGATCCTCAGCTTTTAACCTAGCCATTGCCGAGCCCAACTTGGGCTGTAGGATGAAGCAAGCGGGCATGCACGCATTGTTGGCCCTCTTCGCGCTGTAGCACTTGTTGCATTTGCTCTTGCTAGCGCTGCTAGACGCTCAGACCATTGAACAACACGGCAAAACTTTCAAGAGCAGGCGGGTGCGCAACAACAACTACTGCCCCAGGTCCCATTTCTAGAGATGTTGGGCCAGCGTTGAGGTTGAATGCCAGGTGGCAGCACTAAACCGGTGGGTTCTTGACATCCACGATTTGAGGTGATATGAGGTGATTGTCCCTCAACAACCTTTGGCTAGGGACTTGCTTGGCAGGATTGCTACCAGTTTGACGCCATCAGCGACGTTTGCTGCACCGAAAGCACATGTCAGTACGCAGGCACGGTGATGTCCTTGTGCTTGCCCCGGTTTGAAGAGTTAAAGGGAACCAACAGGGAAAGCACCAATGGGGTGCCCCTATTTTGACATGTGGCTTAGTTGTTTTACAGTAATCTACTGTAGTCAAGGGGATGACACGGCTCACACTCGCCAACATACCAGGAAGTGCGGGTTCCTCGCCGAATTCCGGGAACACGATGAATATTGACTCACTTCACGCAAGAAACCTGAACTCGGCTTTTCACTTCGGGTGTCTTGGTCTGTCCCAACCTCGAGCTCCAAACCTGCCAGCGATCATGTGCCACAAACGACCCCCAAACAACTTCCTTAGTTTGTATGGGGTAGGGAATTTTGACTGCCCCTTGGTTGCGGAGGCTCATAATTAGCCTCTTGTACGGGCACTTGCGGAAGTGCAAGGGTGAGCGATGAACAAGAACTCGCTCAAGCGCCCAGATGTAAAGGTTCCCGGCGCAGTCTTGCAAGGAAGCTGAGATACAAACCAAATTGGTTTAAATGCCTTTCGAACAGAGAACCTCCAGAAAGAAGCATGTTGAGCTTTGTCAAAATCGCGGTCCCCCAAAACCGTTGGTATTTCAGTTACCGTTAAACCACTCCCTTCAACTGCCAACCAAACGGGGGCGACCATGTTGAGAGACTCTCATGTGGATCTATGTACATGTTGCCAAGATGTTTCGATTGGTTTTTGATGTGGAGCGGGTTGACAAAGACCTGAAACCACAGAGTTCTTGAGCACTTTTGAAAGATCCGCCCAACCTCAAGCGACGAAAAGCCTCTGAACTTGACCAGGCTGAAACGTGTCTCAGATCAGGCTCCAGGGCAAAGCATCTGAAGCGCCCGCACAAACAGCACAAGAAGCTTGTCCGCTCAGAATGTCAACAATTTGCCCGGGTCAAAATTTGGTCGCGTGTCTTGGACCACACGCCCATGAAGTCAGTTCCCTACCCCCTTAGTCGCCAAAATGGAGGCACCTCCAATGTAGCGAGCACATGTGTGTCCCCTCCAAGGCACGTCACGGAACCCTCCCAAGGTGTTTGTTTGCTGGTTTGCTGGTTGGTTTGTATTCTTGCGGGGGGGGGGGAAAAAGTTGAACAAAAGTAAGAGAAACCCCGGGGCCGGCAAAAGTCGCGCATTTCGTTCAGACCCCCTTCGCAAAGAACAGACACAACCTATGTGGCAAATCAGACCTCCAACAGATTAATGTTACATTTACTAGTACCACATATCGGAAAGTGTCAAACACAGGAAGCTAAACATTTTCGGACATCTCCCCTTTGATTCCGGCAAGGGGGGGGGTGGGGAGTGAAATAAGAAGTGTCTTGTCAAAGCCAAACAAAAACTCAAAGTTTCGAAGGCCAAAACGTCTCACCAACTTCGGAGGCCACCTGTCACCCTCGGATGTGTCGATGTTGCGAGCCGCCAAAATAGCTGCTGGTTTGTTTTGTGCCTGGACTCAGAGTCGAGATACCTGGCATGCCAAATGTGTCCGATGAGTTAATCTGGTGACAGAAATCCTCGATGAAACACACAGCAGTCAGGCGTTTGGCAGCACGCTTGGCAGCACTGGGCTTGCGAGTCGACAGCGCAGGCGCGCGAGCCTAAGGGGTGACTGCGACAAAAGGCTTATTAGGCGGTCACTGGTCCACTTAACATGGAACCCTAAGTGTTTTTGTCCGCCAGGCTGCAGCAAAGCTGGCTGTGCCCTGCTTGCGCGTCGGGAATGTGTATGTGCATGTGTGTGTGTGTGATACCGCTGCGGGCATCATGGATGGAGCACTCATGACAACTGAAGAAGCTTGGATCAACTAGTTGCTTTGCACTCCTGCGCAACCTGCTCACACGGCTATGTGTAACCAAAGCATGCAGGGGTTCCAAAATGGGCTTCGGCTCGTCTTTCGGTTTCGCTTCAAAACATGTGTCTCTTAAGGGCCCCTCCAGCTGCTGGTTGGTTTTCGTTGCGCTTCCCCTAAAACCATACAAGGGGGTCCGCAATTTTGAGGAATATCCAAACCACCTCAAACATGGTACCTCCAAAGGGGGACCTGGCAAACTCCAAAACCAGTTGGCGCGGAATGGGCTCGGAGCGCTAAGCGCTCAAAGCGCTAGGAGAAAGGAGGCTTCCTCGAGTTCAGAGGCGGGGGTCAGCAAGCGAAGTGTGGAGCTCCATAATTCTCGAAGTCCAAAGCACAGTAAAAAACAATGTTTGTGAGAAAGCACATTTATGGGGTCCAGAGCACATGAAAGAAACGTCCTTTGTGATAAAGCACAGTTAAAAAAACGTCCGAGGAAGCCTAGGGGCACAGTTTGTTGTTTCCTTTTGGCCCTTGAACCACGAACCAGGAAGGGTCCGCCGCTTTGAACAACCTCTTCATTTGTCTCCAGTGGGGGACCCTATCGTAAAAAAACCATCGATTTGCCAAGCAACCCAAGAAGGGTCAAGCAAGACAATCCCTTCGGGTTTCTCTAAACATCGGGTTGAATGCATGAAGCCATGTACGAACCCCTGGTACCCCTTGATTGTTTCGGATCAACCATTGGTTACGACACAGTTATGGAATAGCACATTCATGTGGAGAGAACCTGACCGCCATGACTTGTGTACGGCATGTTACAAAACCTGTGCTTCAGCTGTTTGCCCAGTGCGCTTCAATTGATCCTAAATTTCGGCGGGATTCTGGGCTGGACAGTTGGTTCTTTGCTGGGTGCTGTTTGCTTCCTTTCCTACGTGCGGGCGAGGGTCTCTCTGCGGAGCACGTTGCTGTGTGCCCTGGCTTTGCGGTGCGCAGTGCTTGGTTTTTCCAGCTGAAGAAGTTCATGCTCTACGCCTTTTCTTTCTGGAGCGCTCTTCGGCTTGCCTTTCGCCACATTGCTGACAGCAGGCTTGGCGCAGACTGATCATGGCCGGCTCAACTGCGAGGCGATGGGGCACAGGTGATCTTCTCCCGGCACGCAGTCTCTTTCGTCTTCTGGCTTTTGCCGGCCTGCATTTCTGGCGGCGTGCAATTCTGCGGGAATTTCCGTGAGACCGCTTACGCTGACCTTCTCTGGCAGCTTGCGTGAAGTTCCTTCCCGTTGCTGTGCAGCTTGGGGAATCAATGGCAACACGCCAGCTCCTTGCGCAGGTTCGGTGTGGTTCCATAGCTTGGAGCCAATGGCTCAAGCTCGCCTTTGGGTCTTTCCTTGAAGCGAGGCAGACGAAGGGCGACAAAAACATGCCCATGGGGAAGTGGCCCGTTTGCTTTGGTTCCAAGGTGACCATGACTAGGAGTTGATCACGGCATAGCGCCCGAAGCCCCGAGTGGCGTCTGACGAGTGGCCGTTTTACTTCGGCGGCTTTGCGATTTCGGTTGCAAGGCGCATGCAAACCTATGAGCCAAAAGTCAGGCCTACTCTCGACGGCCTGCAAGCAGCTCCTCAGATCGCTACTCCGACAGAAGGCGAGGCGAGCCCTTCGGTTCTGCTTGGGGAAGGTTTCACTTAAAAACATGGGTCCCTTTATTTCCCTTTGTGGTTTTAAGTTTTAAGCAACACCTTTACGGCCCATGAAAGGTGAGAGTGCCTGGGTGGGGGTGATGCTTTATGGGGAAATATAGGGAGCCCCGTAAAAAAGCTGAAAAGGCTGCCCTCAAAATGCCTTGCGCGGTCCAAATAAAGTCCAAGTCTCTCGGCTCGGGGACCCTAAACGGACGAGAACGGATTCTGATCGCGCAAGCGCAGGTCCACAATTCATACCTGAGACATCCTGAATGGCAAAAAAGGCAAAAAAGGGTACTCTTCCCTTAGTTGATGTGAGAAGGAAACCCCTCAAACCTTGGCCCGTGATACCTCCAGAATCCATACCTGAACTCGTTCCAGCCGCGCCTGGCCTCCAATTCGCCGCATTCGCCGAGCGGTTGGCTTCGCAGGAGATTGTCGCTAGAGCCTGCTGCAGCTGGCAGCGAGGCGGACACGGCGCCGACTGGGCCAGGTTGACGTTTAGCTTGATCTTCCAGGATGGAGTCTCAGGCCGTTGGCCGAATTTCCACAAGCCAAGATCAAAATCAAGAAGGACCCTGGTTTTGCGCCAAGGTTATTTAGCTTGTTGTTTTATGACATGGCTGTGGGTCAACACCAATGGGATCTTGGGGTAGGTGAGTTCACCACCCATTTTAGAACCTATTTTAGTGGGGATTGGGATGTTCACCGGGGGTACGGGATTTTGACGCATGGCCACATTGGGATTATACATGTTTACAAAATAAATCTAATCAGCAGGTTTGTGCATACCGTATGAGCAACAACCAAACATTTTTTGACATGCAGCAAGGAGGCTGTCATTGAGCAGGCTCACCAAAGTAGCGTCAGGATGTGCGCGTACTCACTCCAAGGTCATTGGGGACGCAACGAGTACTTTGGCCCATATCATAGTATTTGCCGCTTGTTCTACCCTTGTGGCCCTTCGTTGAGTGCTGCTATTGTGGAGAGGCGCCTTTTTCCCGATGGCAAGGAAGCTTGCATGAACAAGGCCATTTCAGAGAGATGGTTCGGTGCACGCAGATTGGACAATCCCCAGTTGTTTTCCTCACCCTTTTGCCGTTACCGACAGAAAAGGGATGCCATCAACAGTCCTAGTGTGCCACAATGTGTGGATTTCTGAAAATCCGTGCAGGCCTATGACCGTGACAGGCTGGGCGCTCGAAAAGCCAAGTTTCGCCGCCCAAGTTGCTGCCAAGACGTGTGGCTTGGTGGTCTGGCATGGTGTTTGCCTCAACCTGAGGCATGCCAGGGTTTAGCCTGCTTGCTGCTTGCTGAATGACAGTTGCAGCAATGATGCATGTCTCGTGCGCAGAGCGCACGCCCATGCCAGGGACAGAGATGCTCGGAATTCCGGAGCCTCCTCACAGGCCAGGATTTTGCAGAGTCTTCGGAAGTGTTTCACCTATGAGATTGGACATGGCAATGCACAATCTCCAGTTGCTTTCCTCACCCTTTTTTGCCGTTACTGACAGAAAAGGGATGCCATCAACAGTCCTAGTGTGCCACAATGTGTGGATTTCTGAAAATCCGTGCAGGCCTATGACCGTGACAGGCTGGGCGCTCGAAAAGCCAAGTTTCGCCGCCCAAGTTGCTGCCAAGACGTGTGGCTTGGTGGTCTGGCATGGTGTTTGCCTCAGCCTGAGGCATGCCAGGGTTTAGCCTGCTTGCTGCTTGCTGAATGACAGTTGCAGCAATGATGCATGTCTCGTGCGCAGAGCGCACGCCCATGCCAGGGACAGAGATGCTCGGAATTCCGGAGCCTCCTCACAGGCCAGGATTTTGCAGAGTCTTCGGAAGTGTTTCACCTATGAGATTGGACATGGCAATGCACAATCTCCAGTTGCTTTCCTCACCCTTTTTTGCCGTTACTGACAGAAAAGGGATGCCATCAACAGTCCTACTGTGCCACAATGTGTGGATTTCTCAAAATCCGTGCAGGCCTATGACCGTGACAGGCTGGGCGCTCGAAAAGCCAAGTTTCGCCGCCCAAGTTGCTACCAAGTGGTCTGGCATGGTGTTTGCCTCAGCCTGAGGCATGCCAGGGTTTAGCCTGCTTGCTGCTTGCTGAATGACAGTTGCAGCAATGATGCATGTCTCGTGCGCAGAGCGCACGCCCATGCCAGGGACAGAGATGCTCGGAATTCCGGAGCCTCCTCACAGGCCAGGATTTTGCAGAGTCTTCGGGAGTGTTTCACATATGAGATTCACATGGCAAGTGCGACCGCCTGTCGGAGAGACATGTTTTAGCCTTTTGATGTCACTTTGGGCAGGCTCTCGATGATTCTGAGGACTCCGTCTCTGCGAGTGTGGAGGGTGAGCCTTGGTCTTCATGAGCGCGCAGTGTAAATGGGTATGAATGTTAGTTGGAGACCCTTGGTGGACATCCTTCAGGTGGTGATTTCTGTCCACCAACTACTTTTCAGAGGGGTTGCCTATTGAAATTCATGGCCAGACGTGCGGGCTTCAATGTGTGAAATGTGTTTCAGCTAGGCCTTGCAAAGTTGATCTCAGGCAAGCTTCTCTCCGGAGCGAAATGCACCGACGTACTCCTGGGGTGATGTGGCGACCGCAGATGAGGCACGAGAAGAAGCAGTTCAGAAGACATGGACATCTCAAAGCTCAACAAACAAAGAATGGGGGCACCAATGTTCCCCAAACATCCAGGCCCCGCAATGGCTGGCAAAAAACCCACAACAGCCATTGGAAGGTCATTCCACAGACCATTTGCCAGCCATTCGGGGGTCCTGGATATTGCTTGAATTCAATAAGTGTAGTTGAGTGCCATGATCTGGTGCGTAGGCAAAGACTCGGTTCAGTTTCGTCTTGAACCAAGCTATTCTTGCGAACAGTATTGCAGCACGAGACTTCGTCTGTTGTTTTGTTACTCCCAAAAGGAATTAAACCCAGGGGTGGCTCGTGCATTCCAACAAAGAGCCCTGGGTGCGAATTAATTTTGGCCCACCAAGCAATGGAAACCTGGCGGTTGTTCTTGCTTTGGATCGGACTGTCCAGTCGCTTGAGGCCTTAGTATGGTCCTCATGTTGATGTTGTTTGGTGAGGAGAAAGAGGACAAAGAGGAGAAAGAGGAGGAAGCGAGAGAATATGATGTTCTTCAAGCCCGTCCAGCCGTTCGCCTATGTCTGTGAAATCTTTGCATCAAGGCACTTCTTGTTTTTCAAGTTTGTGTGATGTTGGGCCAGGAAACTTGGCACCCGATGTGTATTCAGATAGGGCACCTCTAGAGATGGGGCTATCTGTTTTGCCGAGAGGAATGTTGAGCGAGCTGGTAGAACAGCATAGAATGAAGGCTTCTTCAAAGAGATAGGAAAGAGAGTCGCCGTATCAGATGATTATGATATGGCGAGAGAGGCGCCAAATTTGTGGCCATCAGACAATCATGATGCTGCTTGCTTGACCCAAAGCGTGGGGATATGAACTCCTGGTTGAGGGAATATGGGAAACCACGTCCTCACCTTCAAACCACCAATGCAAACCTCTAATGAGAGTGAAGCTGCGTCAGCCGTGCCACGGCCAAACTCCGTGAACAAAGCTCAGATCCTATAGATTTATGTCTCAAAATGGTCTCCATTGTCCCTCCAAAAGGATTCCTCACCTGGAACAAAAGGCACATCCATTTGGGTGCGTCTATTTTTTGGGGACCCCCCCCCAAAAAATGAAGAAAAAAGTAAATAGCTAGCTATACATCAAATAAACATCATGTTTTTCCTTGTGGTGTTAATTTGAACCACCGTAAAAGAGGTACCCGCAAGCAAAAGGCACACCCGATTGTCGAACATTTTGGTATCGCGCATGTTTCCTTTACAATCAGGTTGTCCCAAAGCAAAGCGCAGACGGTCGAGCGTCATGCAGACATGCTGTCATGGATACGGGAAGCCGCCCTGCACGGAACCTGCGCAAGCATACCACGATCATGTTCCGTTCCATGGGCTTTAGTGTGACCTTAGCCCCTTAGGCCTCGTTGAAACAAATGCCTTTTCCACTAAACCTACAGAGGTTGGACCGTTTTGCTTTTCTCGGGGGGCCGTTTCATAGGGTTCCCTGTCAAATCCGTGCTATGGGCTGATGCGGTTTCGCGCATTCGTTTTGTCTCAGGGATTGCTTGGCGTATTCCCAGTTTTCGAGTCGGAAGCCCCGGCAGCTTGCTCCATGCTGGAAGCATCGGTCGATTCAAGCTACAATGACTCCGACTAGACTCAGTTGCGGCAAACAAAACGACGCGAATCCCAGGAACCAAGAGTATTGCCAACTCTCGGGAGTACCGCACCACGGTACGAGAGCCAGAGCAGTCGGGACCGTCGCGACGTTCGAGAGCTTCCATGCCACGTGCTGTTCTCCTCACCGCTGCTGGGCTGTGGGTTTTGGATGGTTTGTGGGTGTAGGCTATCCAAAAGGAAAGCCACCATATCGTGTGTGTGTTTGTGCGCGTTTGGGTTGTTTCGGTGGGAGCCAGGACATCCTTTCAAAGCCAACATCGGAAAGTCCAAATCCCGACCCGATTTTAGGTAGTTTCCTTTGGGCTCCGACCTTATCCAGATTTGAGACCCCCAAAATGGTGGCTTTCCGTCTCCCAAGCGGGTGCTGCTGTCCAAAAAGCAACCCATAAGATTCAGTGACACCATTCGTTTTACAAACATCTTCCTGATGGTTTCTGCCGCTCTCTGTTCAGCATCCAGAAAGCCCACTGCTTGAAGTGCTCGCACGGTCAATGCCATCGTTTTACACCCTGCCAGTGCTGCACGCAAATTCCACACATGTTCCGTCGCCAAGCTCCAGCTGCTGAGTAGCTCGCTGCATGCCAGTGGGACAGGCCCGTTGATGATCAGAGTTCCTGGGATGCAGGTTGGCCAATTGAAAAGCTGTTGCCAAGGTTTCTACATGTACCGGGGGATTATTTGGTAGGTGTATCCGGTTTTCAGGACCCTGCTGATTGTTTTAGCCAATTTCCTTCAGCAAGATCCGATGCACATGCGGTGCGGGCTACTGGCGTTTATGTCAGAAGGTTTCGGCAAGGGGTGCGGGTCTGGATTTCCAGCACCGCGGAACTTCGACAAAGTTGTTGTTTGGAAGTTAGGCAAAAACTGAATGTGATTTCAGAAATGATTCGGAACTTTGACTAACGGTTCTGCGGAACTGTTTTGATACTTGTTGAGTTTGCGCCACAGCCTCCAGGAACCCTTCGAAGATCACTTTTGCGGAACCCTCTCAAGAACCCTTTTTTCTCGACAAAGTCCACGGTAGAGCTGTCCAGGCAGCCCACCCCTCCCATTTCTGTCTCGTTATGGGTCCTCCCACGAAAGGCTGGTCGGGCACAAGATGTTTGTTGAAGTTGGTACCCTTTTCAGGTGGGATTAAAGGGATTCCAAACGTAGAACCAAAGCCACTCTCGGGGTTCCCACATGTTCACAGACACACAGACACCGACAGATCTTCGTGGCGAACTGCGTGAGGCTTTGCGTTGAAATGCCAGTGGTGCTGAACGTGTGCTGCCAGCTTCCGGAGAATGGCGACGTCGAGGCATTGTCAGCAAGTCTCACTGGCCTCAAGGGTTCCTTTGGGTGGTTGTAGCCATCACCTTGGCCCATTTAAGGTGGGTTTGTAGTGGTGTTGCCCTGTTTTGTCATTGTCAGGCCTAGCAGTGTATGGGTGTGTCTTGTTTTTGGACACCCCCGAAATGGTGGTTTTCCTTGTGTTTCCTTTAACCCAACCAAAACGGGGTTCTTTAAAAAAAGACGCACCTATATTCAAGTCTGGCCGACGACTATCGTTTCAGCGATTTCCACTGAGGAGATTGTCACTTCAAAAAGGCTGTGGGTGAAAAATATGTACCCAAGATGGCACCCTGGTAAGTGGAAACATGGACTAAAACCTGCCGTCCCCTAAATGACTTGGGATGATAGAGCAATTGGTTTCAGGCGGCCGTCCTTGAGCAGTACAAGGAGTGGGGCTTGGGATTTCGGATACTGCAACCTGCGGTGCTGGAGCGGGTATTTGGCCTGGCCCGCGCCAACAACGCCAAGCAGACTCACGCGGAGGCTGGACAATCGTTTCCCAGTAGGAGTCTGACACAGTTCTGTGTGTGGTCTTTCCTTATTCTATTCCGTTTTAGTATTGCCTTACCATATTTTTCTTGGTTTCAATTAGAAATTACGCAGAACTTGATAAATATATTAAGTAGAATTCATAAGGAAAGAACTCAGAGGTCCTAAAATTGTTGAATAAATTGCGTTTAGATGCTTGCTGATTTGCAAAGAAATTATATTGGAAAGGAAACCCAGTGACACATTTAATCTGAAATCCAATGAGCATTATTTATATTCGAACTTAAAATAACGAAATGTTTGTTTGTGCTGTTCAATTGGAATGGACCCCAAATACTGTGGCTGTGATGCATGTTGCACAGTGATGGCAGCATTGGTCCAAGAACCCTCCAACCTTCCTTTGAGCATTCCCCAAGCTTCCCGTGATGAAGATTCCTTTCATAAGGTGCCAGGGTTAGGTATGCTCAAAAGGCAGGTTGGAGGGTTCTTGGAAATGGGTGTTCAGTGTTCGGCGACAGGTAGCTATTGGCGCCACGGCACGCGTTCAATGTATCCAAAGTAGGAAGGAACAAGCACGTGCCTTTTCGTTATGTAGAGGCACTGCACTTTCCAACAAGTTCTATAGGGCTATGCAAAACCACCGTAAAACCAACAATTAAGGATGAACACCGGCAACAGGTAGACAGAAACATCAATTGCACGGTTCTCGAACAACAGCATACTCTACCTCGGACCTGACTCGCACCGGTACTTGTCAAAGCCGTTTGGCATCGTTTGGCCCACTGAATACTGCGCAGGTGAGCGAAGTCTTACGCGTTGATGTGCACGTCAGCTGGATCACTACAAGAGTGCGGGAAGACTGGAAAGTTAGTCCAATGCGCGACGTACAACAGCTGCAACCACTGCAAACCGGGAAGGAACTGATTCCGATCATTGTCATAAGGTTACCTCACAGCATGTTTTTCACCCAGGGTTGTATCGAGATGTCGCCCTGGCGTCGATACTTTTGTAACAATGTTGTCCGAACCTTTGTAACAGTGGCTGTTCTCTTGAAAACAATACACAGTGCGAAGGGGGAGGTGTCGAGTGCGTGGCACAATTTCACGGCCCTAAGGTCTGAATCATATTCGAACGCCCTTCACCGAGCTTTCTGGAATTCCAGCTGCACAATGACTGATGACATGCATGTCTTGCTTCTGTTGCCTATGGCTTTGGTCAGGTTTTGAAACCAATTTCCTAGCTAGCGCAGGTCAGCCATGCTGACCTGAGCGTTGACCTGAACGTTGCTTAGCGGGATCATAAGTAGTGTTGCAGGCATTTGGATGCGAGGACGAGAACAGTGACCTGTTTCGCACGTTATACGCCTTCCCAGCGTGAAGGCGTATCATCGACCTTGTGCGGAGTATCATGTCGTCAAGTTTGCGGCCGTCGACCTTCATGTCGCCCCAAGGGGCTTTGATTTGGGGAAAACCCAGCCCTTGATGTGCTAGAAAAAGATGAGGCACAATAAGCATGATGTATTAACATGTACCCCGCCACATTCTGGGGGTTCGGACCTGTGGTTCCGCGCGGTTCCATCCTAACGGCCGCAACCACAAACCGGTGCAACGCTGTAGTGAGTAAGAATCAGTTCAATCGAGCGGCGTCTGAAACCTTCGTGTGCATGTGTAAGAGTCGCATCACATCGACCTGCGAGTAAGGCAACAACTCCATTGTGCTGACTGTACTGTTGGTTGGGTATGCCAACTGATTGTTCCTGGGTGGCATTTTTGACACCCCTAGGCCCCTAGTGGGTTGCTTCTTTTGGGGATTTTACAGGGACACCACCAGTTTTGTGGGGTTCCCCTCGACAAAGCCTCCGGAGGTCATGCTCCAGCCGGGGGATACGCTCTACAAGGTGCAGATCTTCTCGGAAGATCCCCCGGCAGCTCGAGTCAAAATTCGGGTGGTTGCAGTCGGGTTTCAGCATTTCATGGGGCTTGTCCCAGTATAAGGGTTTATCCACCAATATTCATCGTGAACACTTCAGAATTGTATGTCATAACATATCATGGCTTAGACCCTACACTTTTACTAGCTGCGCTTTTACAATGTACCTAACTTTGCGTTTGAAGCTATGCTCAGATTAACTTGTCTTGAAATAACATTAGTTTATGACCAAACGATGTGTGAAATGATTCAACAAGGATCAACAGGACGAATGCCACCAACATTTTTCAGATAGTAGAAGAACATACTGTTAAAATGGGTGTGGGTGGCCAAGTCTTCATGAATCATCAAGTCTGCCACATTGGAAAATGAGTCCATTTTCGGAAACATCCATCTAAAGCTGCATGTTTTGACCCCCGGCCCCATGTTCTGCGCTGAAAGGCCGGGACGCCTGCGACATCACCAGCGCCGGGCTCCCGTGGCACAGAGATACCGCCGCAGCCCAGAGGCTCTCGGGATGGAAGCCCTTGAAGGAGCTTAAACAGGGCTCCTTAAGAGATCTCCATTTTGCAGCCATTTGAAACATGTTGCTTTTTCAACAAAATAAAGTTGGAAGCCACCATTTACAAGGCAATGTTCAGGTGTATAATGTAAGGATCCCTGTTAAAGAGGCTTGAATGCTATTGGGTTGGATCTTCAGTCAATCGCTGCTTCTCGCCATCGTTGTTGGGGTGCATTCTGCCTTGCCTTCTCGCAAAAAGAAGGCACTTGATGCTGAACAATAATGAGAATAGTTTCAATTCCAAGAACGCTGAGCGCACCCCAGTAATCCTGCTCTATAGTGGCACCTCACTACAGTGGTTACAAGGGAAACCACTATCTGGCGCTGGCATAAATATTGCCACTGGGAAACGCAGGGTACTCACCCAAATCCCTACCGTCATTCAGGGCGCGCAATAAATATTGACCTGAAAGGACTCGCTAAACATCGCACAAAAATCAGGGGCGAGCCCTCATCTTCCCATGTTTGTTTGGGGAAAGAAGCTGAGACGCGCCCAAACCCCCCGATGCGGGTGACCATTTGAGTGCGCGTGGACAGCCTACCCGACTGGCCAAATGGAGCTTCCAGGGGCTTGGTGCAGCATGACTTGAACAGGTGCAGCTAAACCTCGGCAGTCATGGCTGTTCCATCGTGTCTTGCGGAGGCATGTAGCAGCAAAGCTGCAGTGGAGATGCGCGGCTTGCGAGCGCTTGAGCAGGCGCTTATCATTCAGGCAATGCGCGGTGCTGAGCATGTGCTCTTGAGCGGGCGCGCCTTGTCACTTGGCAGGCATGTGTGCAGCGCTGAGCGTGTGCTCTTGCGGGTATGCTTGTCATTGGCATGCATGAATGTGTGCAGTGCTGAGCGTGTGCTTTTGAGCAGGTGCACAAATCATTTGACAGGCATGTCTGCAGTGCTGCGCTGCTCTCGAGCGCGCACCCTCATTTTTTGGCAGGCATGCGTACAGTGCTGAGCGTGCGCGCTTAGGTTTGGCAGGCATGTGCGCAGCGTTGAGCGAGTGATCTTGAGCGTGTGTGCTAATCAAGTGGCAGGCACGCGCGCAGTGTTGGAGACAGCGGGGTGGCGGGCCGGCAGGCTGGAAATCCTGAAAAGACGCTCGGGAGGGTAATCTCCTCATACCTTTTAGTAGGTGGTTCTGCTTGCTGCGTAGAACCACACGGCAACGCGTGTTAGTCGCTGCTCAAGTCATTTCGGCGCCAGGCACCACCCAGGAGAGCTTGGTGCACAACAAAAGCCTCGCGAAGGTCCTGGCACAAATGCTGCAGAAGCCACCAGTCGGGGGACCGGTTCTGCGGGTCCGGCACCTTGGAGGAAATCTCGACGCGAAGAGTTTTAGACTTGTGGGGGGAACTGTGCTTTCGGCTTTCCCATCCCATTTTTGACGTGGAGAGAGTTGAGAGAAGTTCTGGCATCAAACAGCTCCAGTTTTTTTGAATCAAATGTGCCGCAGCCAACTCTGATATGCTTGCGTGCTTGCCTTGGGGAACGGGAGAGCCACAGCGCTGTCAGAGTGATTGATTTTTGGGTCTGTGCTGTTGAGGGTACCCCTCTCACCTTGGGAAACAAAAGGAGAGCCACAATGTGAATGGTCTCCATATTTGGGATATGTCCATGTAAGTTTAGCACCAACATGCCCTTGTATGCTGGATATCGAATGTGATCGAGCATGTCGAGGTACTTGTAGGGGCTTGCACATGCATCCGACATAGGCAGCAAGGGGTTTTCCATTAAACCACTAAAAATTATTTTTTTTAGCAGGAGAGCACAAAGCAACCGAGTCAAGAGGCCCACAAATGTTCAGAACTTCAGCTGCTAACAAGGTCAACCAGTGAAGCATACGACATCGGATCAGTTGGTAAGCTGGTTTGGCTGCTATCGAGGCTGTAGCCTGTGCGGATATTGGTACGGTAAGCGACTTATGAGTGGGAGGGGACAACAAAAACTCAAATTTTCCCCAAACTGGCAGGGAAAAAGGATAGGGCATACGGCATATGGATTGCTCTGGTGCAAAAAGTGAAACGGTTTAACCCAAATACAACACCAGAACAAATCCCAACGATATGCTTGATTCTGGTGTTTAAACTGTTTAACCCTCTCGGCGGAAATGGCCGTTTCAACCCAAAAAAGAAAGGAGCCCATCATAGGACTGAAAGGGTTCGATTGAACCCCCAATCGTTGTTTTAGCGTTTCTATGCAATTTGTTTGGGGGAAGTGCATCATCTTTTTGGCTTCCCTTCAACCCCCAAAATGGTACCCTCAAGAAAGAGGCCCAAATGGGGTTGATCAATATGCTGGCCCCCAAACGACCCTGGGTAACTTTCCCATTTGGTGTGAAATATCATCTTGTTGGTGGTCTTCCCCAATGGTCATCCCATGTATCACGGACCTTCGGATCAACCCCCAACTGCGGATGGACCAAACGCTGCACCAGTTGGAATGGAGCAAGCGATCTGAGCACTGTCGATGAGCTACCTACTTTTTTGGCAGGGTTTTTTGTTCGCTTCTTGTTGCCTCAGACGTTCTCAGCCTACGTTCGCTGCTCATGTCGTTTTAAACTTGTGTCATTCGCACCGCGCCAGGCTCATTTTTTCTGGCATGCGGCCGCTGCCCCAACTGGACGTGGAGGCGGAGGCGAGCAAAAGATGGGTTCGATGTGTGGGATTCGTGTGCGAAGCTTTGTCAAAACGGGAGGTGCTGGTGGAGTACAAATAATCCCCTTCAGGGTAGCGACACGTGATTCATGGGGCATCGACGAACACATTCGAGCACCTTCGAACCAGGTGCATTCCGAGGCGTGGAACCAGTGCCAAAGATGAGTATCGCATATTTAAAGATGCAGCACAAAGCATGGGGGGCGCCTCCCAATTCACATTTGACCCCCCTGGTTGAGGCCGAATGGGAAAGCGGTGAAACTCCAGGAAGCTGAGTCAAAACTGGCTTGCTCTTTGATGGAAGGCAAAGGGTGGATCTCCAAAACCCTTGAGGGAAGCACAAGAACACCATGCATCAAGATTAACATTGTGTGTTTTCGAGGATTCCCTTTTCAGGTTGGTTTCAAGGGGCCAAAAAGGCCAATGCCATTTCTGTTGCCAGGACCCAATGGCTGGCAAATGGTCTGTGGAATGACCTCCCAATGGCTGTTTTAATTATTTGCTAGCCATTGGGGGGTCCTGGTGGATGAAGTCTTCTTTTGACACATGCCCCCCCCGTCTCTCAGATGACGGAGCTCCAGCGCAGCGGGTGCCGCACGCTGTGCGGCGCCTTTACCTCTGCAGCCATGCGGGGCCTCATCGCTGCCAAGGACGAAGCTTCGAAGACGCGTCGCTCGCGCAGGAATCGATGCAATTTGCCGATACGGGGTGCAATTCCTTGAATTTCCTCGGTGTGAAACTTGCTGAACCCCAATCGAAATGGGGAGGTTTGAAACTTACGGCCAGTACAAGTCCTTTTTCCTAGTAGAATCAACCAAGCAAAAGGTGCCCTGTTTCATGGAATCCCACTTCGGGTCTGGCAGAGAATGCCTATGGTAGGGGTCAAATTAGAGGGACCCTAAACATAGATTGATAGGAAGGCCATGGTTCAATCAGCGGTGTGCTCAAAGCGTGTAGGCTGCGGTGAATACGTTTGCGGCATACATTTCTTTGGCGTTGATACACTCCAAGTCAATCTTAATCACACTGCATAGGTGGTCCAAAGAGTCCAAAATGAGATCACGTGGCTACAGAGCCGTCCTCAGATATCTGGAAATTAGACTCGGCATTGTCTTGAGGTAGCAGGTGTGATTAACGAAGCTGATGCGTATTTTGCACCCGCAACTTAAATTGGTGGAGGTCGATATGATGCAAATGTGTGAAAGTCTGTTTGGTCAGTTTGGTTGGTTAATTTGGTTACTTGGTTGTTTGATTGCTTGCTGGGTTGCTTGGTTGCTTGTTTGGTTGGTTGGTTGGTTGCTTGGTTGGCTGTTCGGTCGCTAGGATGTGGGAAACATGTGAGTCTCCTGTGTTTTGAAGGACATCTAGTGAGTTCCGAATGTGCCTCTCAAATGAACCATAGACTGCTGGACACAGGGTTCCACTTTTTTTAGTATTTCGAGATAGACTTTCACGCAGGGGTTCCCCGAAAAATGGACCACCCCTTGGTTTAAGTCTACCCTGACGTAGTCAAAAAGTGAAGCCCTGACTAGACAATCTGACCAAACCCGAAATCATGGGGGCTGGGGGTGAGGGAGCCCAAATAAGCCCTAAACAAGGCCTTATTAAGGGCCTAAGGGCTTATTTGGGCTCCCTCTTCCGTTTTTTTTCCCCTCCCTCCCCGCCCCCATGATGAAAGAAAGGGGCCCTACAAAATGGACCCTTGCGCTCTCGAGGATTGCGAGGTGCTGCACCTGGCGCTGCATTGCTCCTCCGGCCAGGCGCGGTGAATCGAGCGTTGTGTGGGGTTGATCCTTCTTTTTTGGGAGTGGTACCCTTTGTTTCAGGAAAAAGAAGAAGATAGACTCTCAATGGCTGGTTTTGGGGTGATTTGCCAGCCATTCCGGGGTCCTGGGAGTTAGTCTGTTTTTTGGCGGCTGGTGCTCTTTTTCCATGTTGAAGAGGCGGACATAGGTCTGCACTGTTTTGTAGGTATCCTGTTTGGGGTTGGTGGAAGAGTGAAAGGGAAACCACAATTTGTAGGGGGTCCCTATTTTAACACACACACAAATTATTCTGCAACAGTGGAAAGCGGGGCAAGCTACTGTAGCTACTTTCAATCAGGGTCCTTCATATCGTTCAATGTATGTGTTTACAGAGGAAAGGTAGTGCCCGAAACCGGGACAGAAACACTCAGAAGTGCGAATTGTTTCACGAGAAGCTGACAGAATGACTGGCAGTTTCTTTGTATGGAGGACATGGGCCGAGCGACTTTTACATGCCCTTTTGCGGAAGCAAATTGGCTTTGTCTCGTCTCAACAGACACGTTGCAACATAAGCAATCTGTCTCCGAATGTGGATATGGACCTATGGGCTGTTTCCCGTATGGAAGATGCAAGCTTCCCATGGGGAGAGAGGGCTTTTTGTGGCGGCTTCTTGGGCACGAAAGACGAGCTGTGCGAAAATATTGCCAGAGCCTGTTTGGATGCTGCCTGCTGAATTGTTTTATTCTAAGGAGGATACATGGCCATGGGTCAAAATCCCGCACCCCCCAGTGAACATCCCAACCCCCACTAAAATAGGTTCTAAAATGGGTGGTGCACCGAAACCCCAACAATGGGATCCCAAAACGGTTTTGACAATCACAGCCACATGACAGGAGCCAACTGCTTCCATAGAACTGCATTGCCAGGCACACCACCTGTACTTGGAGGACCCACAGGGCAAGGCTCATGTGATGTCTGCAAAGGACCGGTGAATCGGTGAAAGTGCCGCAGGGATTGTGCTTTTAGGCAACATGTTCGTGAGGGCCCAGACAGGTTTCAATAGCCCTTAGAAACCCTCAGCTCTCAGAACCTTTGAGAGGCCCGGCGAACGCCAGGCTTCGCGCAATTGCACGAGTCGAGACTCCGGGAATCGGTGTGGGGCCCCCGTTGGGCAGATTTTAACTATGAATTAAAGTTGGTCCCCTATTAGTTTTTTTGATGTCATTCATGACGGCCATACTGAGATCAGCGGATTACAGGCACCAGGTGTGTCATTCTTTGAGAAAAGGGAAGCCAAAAGGAAACCACCCATTTGGAGGGTTCCTCTTGGGTCCTCAAACTATGGGGACTGCCAAAGCTCCCATGTGCTTAAGAATATGTTTTTAGTTTCCCCTCTTGGATTTCAGGACATCTCTATCACTACTGGACTTTTTTTTTGTTTTTTCTTCGGGGCACTCCTGCGCATGGAGAAAAGTGGGGTGGGATTTCCTCTTTTCTCTAATCAACCCCCCGGGAGATCGGAGAAGCAAACACCACAAGAAACCTGGCTTCGCTTCTGCCGTCGCAGGAGTTCCAAGCCTTGTTGACGGAGGGCCAAAGCACGCAATGCATCAAGCTGGTGGCCGCTTGGCAGAGACGCGCCATAGGCTCGCAAGGAGATCGGGCGCAAGCAAGTCCAGTTTGACCGGATTCTGCACTCTGCGACTTAATTTTTCTCTGTGGAAATTCGATGGCGAATATGGGTGTGGTTCCTTTTTGCGGATTCGGATTCCTCCAATGGATTCGGTTTTCCTTTCGGGAGAATTCCTTGCCGACAAATCAAGAGGAGAACCCCAACCAAAGACGAGCCCCCCCCCCCCATACGCCTCCAGGTTGCGTAGGTGCGCCCGAAGCTGAGGTTCTGAACGCTTGCCACTCCATGACCTTGGGCAAGTACTTTGTGGCCGCAGGGGTTCAACATGTGGCCTCTCGGCTCAGCGTGTCGTTTTCCCCCGATGAAAGACTGAGATCGGCGAATTATAGCGGTGTTCGCACGACCTCACACCAAATGGTGGTTGAGGTGGGGAATATCCCTCCAACTACCTTGTTTCAGGCTGGTGAAATATAATGATTCACCCAGAAGACTGAGATCGATGAGTCTCCGCTTGTGTATGTTGTTCTTGATGTTTTTCCTGCGCGCATGCAGAATTTTGGGCGCGAACTGTGTCAAGTCAAGGGCGAGACATTGCATTCTGACCACAAGGTTCTTGATTTTGGAAGTGGTTTAGTATTGGAGTATTCTTCTGCCCAGTACTGTTGAGAATTGGTTTAGTATTGGTTCATTATTGGCTTATATGGTATTTTTGTGTACTGGCTCAGTAATGTTTAGTGTGATGTGTAGTATTGGAGTACTATTCCTTTGAGCTGGCCCTAGGTGCATGTTGTTGTATCCATTTCCTACGTTAAACAAACCATATTATTGTGGTCCTGGATATTCCCTGTACCCTTGAAACTTCCGACGGGTGGCAGTCTCAGTAAAGAGTGTCATAAAGGATCTGGCTGTTTTAGGTCGGCTCTTCTTGGTGGCTTTTGGGTAACTTAGAGAGGAGCTGCTAGGACTGGAGTATGCTCAAACATTGCCGGCCCAAAATATGTTTCTTATCCACCTGGAAAGCATTCCGGATCTGTTGGACCCATTTTTTTGTTGTGTATTTCATGATGGCGTAAGACTCGCGAGGAGCAGCCAACGGTCAATTGGCTTGCCAAGAGGGCGCTTCCTTGGCAGGCTGCCTCCCTGATTGTTATGCCCACTCAGCAGGTTTTTCTGGGCTGTTCAAAGCTAATCCTTAATCCTTGCCTTGGGTTCCGCAAGGGGTTCCCTTTGTAGTGGCTTCCCTATAAGGGATTTTGTTAAGATTGGCCAACCCTCATTTTGAACAGCCCAGTTATATAAGCATTGATCGATTCGAAGGAAACTAGTCCTTGTGACAAACACCCTGAAATGTGAGGACCGCTAAACAAATGGGAAACCAACAGAGAATTCCAGTGACCCAAGCAAGAAGACTGAAGCTTAGGGGGGAATCCAGCGACGCCTCAAAACAAGTCGAAAGTTAGGGGAACTCCGTATCCCCTGAAACCTGTCCTTGAAAGAAGGAAATGTAGTCACCCCTTAAAAAGTAACTGACGAGGTTCTCTTCACCTCCTGAAGCAAGTTGAAACAAAAGAAAGACCAGTTACATTCAGTGACCCCAAACAAAATCACAGCTGCAGTGGCGACACGCTGGAATAGCGACTCTGAATCTCGATGGGGGCATCACGCATTTCTCCGGGCGGGAAAAAGTCATCCACCTAATGAAAGAACATGAGCTAGACATTCTTACCTTGCAAGAAACCAGGGTCAATGTAAATTCAGTGGAAGTTCATGATGGGTACACTTTTTACTTCTCCACAAACATAACGCACGATCAGAAAGCACGCGCTGACCAAAAACGGGAGCAACACAGACAGCAGCCACAGCCCAGCCTTACAGAAATCGAGCTGTACAATCTAGATGCTGAGAAGCACGGAGTAGCAATAGTGTACAGTCCGCAGCTAACGGCGCACAAGCAGAATGTCCAACAAGTGAATGGCAGAACGCTACTTGCGACTTTTAATACATACCCAGTTAAAACCAATGTGGTAGCAGCGTACGCCCCACATGCAGGACGCAGCGAGCAAGAAAAGGACGAATTTTACAGCCATCTTAATCACGTTGCTGCAGCGTTGCCAAAGCATGAGATAAACATATTCATGGGAGACTTCAACGCGAGACTTATGGAGCAGCTAGGCCACGAAAGCAATGTCATTGGTCCCCACATTTTCCGGAACGACACGGACAACATCAGCCAACTCAGCGTCAATCAACAAGACAATAGATTTCGGTTCACGTCATTCTGTCAGGAGCATGAGTTGGTGGCAACCAACACATGGTTTGAAAAGCCATTGGCCAAGCTGATTACACACCGCAATGCCGCAACACCAAACTACACACCTCCGTTTACGACTGACCGCTTTGGACAAATCGATTACATCCTTGTCAATCACAAGTGGAGAAACGCAATTACAAATGTGGAAACAAGCTCGCGACATGCAGTTAGCACTGACCACCGCCTGCTGATTGCGCAGATCCGAGTCAAGCTTGCCAGAACACCAAAAAGACAGTGTCAAAAGACACCCAGATATAGACAACCCACAGTGGAGCAACTGACGCACTACAATGACCATGTGCAAGAAATGCTCCAAGCGTACAATAACATTGACCAGTCTGACGCCTTTCAAATCTGGGCAAAAGTGATACACACCGCAGCAAACGAAACGTTCACCCGCGTCCCCCCATCCCAAAAAAAGAGGTATATTTCCGAAGAGACTTGGCAGCTACTGCAAGAGAAACAAGCAAAAAACGAAAACAATCAGCGAAATGAGGCTCAGACACTGGAAAGGCAAATCCGCAGGCAAGTGCGCATAGACAGGCGGAAGCACATCAAATACCAACTTGAGGAAATAGACGCGCAAGGCTACAAATGGAACGGGCTCAAAAGACTACGGAGAAAGTTTGTGCCAAGACATTCTAAGTTCAAAGATAAGGATGGCAATTACATTACGGAGGAAAACTTTGTTAATGCTGCGGCGGAATACCTGTCCAGCGTCCAATGGAAGAAACCAGAAGGCCACGAACCGGAACAACCAAGTCCGTTATCGCACGTGGGAGCACAGGTCACGGCCACCGAATGGGAGCCCCATGAATTGGACACTGCCATAAAGAATTTAAAAACCAACAAAACGCCAGGGCCAGACGAAATCACACCGGAGCTGCTGAAATGGCTGAGCAGTGTCAATAGGGGGCGCCTGCTTTCGCATTACAACCAAATCCTCATGCACGAGCGGTACCCTGATTCCCTTAACCATGCAAATATCGCTTCGATCTATAAAAAAGGAGATCCATCAAACTTAGCCAATTACCGACCCATTGCTCTGCTGCAGACTTTTTACAAAATCTTAGCGGCCATGACCAAGATGCGACTGGAAGAAGCGCTGGAACCATGGCTACTCAAAACGCAATATGGTTTTCGAAGGAAAAGGTCGACAGCGCAGGCAATCTTCTTGGCCAGGCGACTTATGGATATTGCGGAGAGACAGGGTACCAATTTGACACTAACGCTACTGGATTGGGAAAAAGCTTTCGACAAGGTCGACCAAAGCAAACTAGTAAAGGTGCTCCAACGTCTGTGCATACCAGAGCGCATGGTAAACCTCGTACGAAACATTTATAGATACGCGCAGTTCAGAGTTGTCCAAGGTGAGCACAGCTCAGCATTCCATAGGCAGGAATCTGGCATACGGCAGGGCTGCCCCTTATCCCCTTATCTTTTTGGCATAATTATGACGGCCATTTTCCAAGATATAAAAACTGAACTTAACACGCCGAAGCAACTACAACCCATCCATGGTATCAACTATGCCGAAGTCCTATACGCGGACGACACTTTACTGTTTGGAACGCACACGCAAACAATAAACAAATTACTCCGGCAAGTCCAAGTGGAGTCTGCCAAGTACAACTTGGCGCTGAACTTTGAAAAGTGCATTAACCTGACAATCAATCGAAAGCAATCCTCGGTAAAATTCATGAATGGCGCGCAGGTCCCTCGAAAAACACAAGCCACATATTTGGGCGCCACCTTGACAGATGCCGTAGACAGTCACAGAGAAGTTATCAAGCGAATCGGAGAAGCCGCAGCAGCTGCCAACCAACTACGGATTTTTTGGTCACAAGCTCGTACCACTATCGCTTGGAAAATAAGGGTCCTAGACAGTATTGTAATAAGCAAATTGCTTTACAGTCTTGAAACAATACAGCTAACAAAGAGTGAACAGAATAGGCTAGATGCCTGGCAACATAAAATGCTCAGGCGAATACTGAATGTGCCACCCACGCATCTGGATCGAACATGGACAAACCAAAGAGTCGTAAACACGCTAACGCAGGCACACAACTACACGCATGTGAGCCTTTCAGCAAAATGGAAATCTAGAAAACTTACGTTGCTCGGGCACATACTCCGAGCCACAAGTGCTGACCCCATGAGAGAGGTCCTGTTCCACCCGCACACCAATATTCCGAGACAAGAACATATCAGGCGCGTAGGAAAACCAAGAGCTCATTGGCTGATTGAAACCTTGCAAGATGCATACAAGCACATCCATCCGGACCGAGTGTTTGACGCCAACAACCAAGAGCAAATCAACATGCTAGCCGAGAGAGCAAGCGCCAGGGCTGCCCCGTTCCATGCAAAAGGATGAGAAGTTGCAACGGAGAGGGAAGAGTCGAGAAACACCCAGTGATGTCGCACTGTCATATAATCTGTCACCGAAGATCTCAACGAATAGGGACTGCGAGAGACTTCAACTGCCTAGGGGACAACTGTGGTTCAACCTTTTCCTTTTACGGAGAAAAACCTCTGGCCTGCGGCACTGGTCACGGTACAGTTGCGGTAGGGTAGCGCTCAGCTCTGCATCGAGCAGCGCGTGGCAAAAAAAAAACCCAAACAAAATGGGTTCTCAACATGAGAAGCGGGGGTTCCCTATAGAACCCCAAACATCAATTGCACCCTTGTCCTTTCTTTGAGCCCAAAGCAACAATTGGCTTTCTCTCGTTTTGTGGGGAACCCCAAACATGGCTGGTTTCCCTTTTGGGTTTCCCTTTGAAACCACAAAAACCAAGAGCATAGTTGCCCTTTTGATCGGTTATTTTGCTTAGACATAGATGGGTTCCACTGGTTTAGGTTGGTGTTATTCCATTGACCAGAGCCATCTATTTGCGCTAAAAGGACACTTATGACCAAGAGTGTCCTCAAAAAACAGGAAACACAAAACATATTGTACCCCAAACACGGCTGGTATTTCCTTTTGCTTTCCCTTTGAAACAAAAAAAAAGAACACGAGTCTCCCCCCAAAAAGCCAGAAAAAAAGAAAAAAGAAACAAAAACAAAAAAACACGAGGCAGCCTCCCACTGGACTGGGACTCGCGAGAGTCCGCGAGGTGTGCGTTTGGGACCACCGGGAGGTGCGGGACGACAGCTGCCGCAGCTTCGCGCGGCACTTCTTCTCGGCGCTGCAGAACGGGCGCTCCGTGCAGGAGGCCTTCAAGCGCCTCGGCTTGGAAGGAAGGTTTTTTTGTTTTTTTTCCCCCGGGCGCCTGCGGTCCAAGTCCTGGTTTTATTTGGGTACAGTATGGCTCAAAACTAAATCACCAGGGGAACGCAGAGTCCATGTTTCCACTTGCCAGGGCAACCCATTTTGGGTACACTTTTTTGACCCAGAGCCATTTTGACCCATACCCAAATCTCCATAGGATTTCAATCAATAAAGAACCTCCGGAAAGTGATTGGTGGATATAGAACCAAACCACTGAAATGCAGAGATTTCCCAATTCAAATGTCTGCCCAAATGGGTCGACTTTTCGTGTTGCTTGTTTTTGTTTCCTTCGTTTTGGGGTGAATTTGGGGATATAACAGGGACACCACAACACAATTGGATCGAGTCTCTGACTTCTCACTTTGTTTTTTTTGGTGGGTTAGACGAGAGGAGAGGAAAACCACAAAGCACGTGGGTTGGGTTTAGTTTTTGGAATGTTGGG